ATGATCATATGACTTTTTACATACGCCATGTAACCCGTGAATGCGAAAAAGCCGTTTCCATTGCAGTTTTGCTTATCAATCCTTTTTCGCATTGCCTGAAAAACCACCTCATGCGAGTTTAAAAACTTTTTAGCGATATATGGGAGTTTTTGCGAAATTGACGCGTTTCCATTAGGCGTATTTTCAATTCGCAATTTCAATTTGCGCAGTTTGAAGGGTAATGGAAACGCGCCCACTGTCCGGTCTCGTATACACGTAGAGGACTCAATGGCTTTGCTGCTACTGCCATTGGAATACTTCCTGCATTACTCACCTCCTGTGTTCCTCCTAGTGTCTCCTAGTCTCCAAGTGTCTCCTGTTCCTCCTAGTTCCCGGATTGCTGAGGTGTGTGCTCCTCCTGCCTGCATTCCAGCTCCTGTACAGCCAAAGACCCGGATTACCCCGCTCATCATATCCTTCGAACTATTCCCTCACCATCACATCCTCTGAACCCTACCCCAGTACTCTCTGTGACCCAATAAACCTGTTTTATATATACTAACCTGTTGTGTCAGACCTCTTCCGTTACAGATACAGGGAATGGTTGAGCTAAATCAAAGATGGCGTCGTCTGTGGAGCCATTATGTGCACTAAAACTTTAGTCTCCTATAGCTACTATGTAAGAAGCTGCAATTCTTTAAAAAAAAATCACTTGCTACAGCAGCTTTTAGATCTTGTTGGTCAGACAAACTAGATGGAGCTATACAGCTGCTGGCGCCTCTCCTCTTTCTCTCTTTTTCTCCGCCATAGTAGTTTTCTTTCTTTCTTTTGTTAAATGCTGTTAAATTATTAAGCAGTGTAGGTTTTTTCTTTGTGTTTTAGGTGGTGACCACTGGGAGGTGCTCTGGGCATATATCCTTCTTGGTTTTGTTCCCTGACATGATGTATGTTGCAAAGTGAAGGTAAAAGTTTCACGCAAGTTTGTTGCATTCTAACAGGAAAGAGTTTTGTGTCTATTTAAAATCAACACTTCTTTTATAAAGAACACAGCTTTCTCACATAGCGCACTGAAGCAGCCCCTGCATAGCGTGAATAATCCATCGATATCAACCAATTCAGCACCACCCTCATGGACAGCAGCTGGTAACGTCACACGTAAGAAGGTAAACGCACACCAGTGACATAATATATTGTGAAAGACTTTGTCTGTGTCAACCTTCATTGAGATTTACTTTCAAGATTTGGAGAAAATTAAAGACAGTCATGGATGTCCTGAAGAAGAATGAATTGAAATTTTCATGCGACCTCTTAAGGAATTTTCTCTTAATGCCTGGAGAAAAAGCAGGAATTGATCAGTGCTATAATGCATTGTGACAGAATTTCCCTTTCATTTTCTGTAAAATTCTACAGTAGAATCTCGTGAAAGTTGACACAGACAGAGTCTTGGGCATTCTGAAGAAGTATGAATAGGCATTATTCAAATTCCTTCAGAATTAACATGAACATTTCTGTGTAAATATCAAGAAATAGTCGGTGCTAAAATGCATTGTGACAGAGTTTGCCATTCATTTTCTCAAATTCTACAGTAAAACCTTGTAAAAATTGACAGTTAGAGAGATGGTCGTTCTGAAAGAATTTATTGAAATGTTCGTGTT